CTGGCACTCGTGCCAGTTTACAATTAAATCTACAGTAGGGTTTGCCATGCGCGAGAATGGACATTTAATAGAGCTGAGGAAACTAAATGAAGCGAGGCACAGATGCTAATTGAGAGATGACATGCTGTTATGGTGTGGCATCAGGTTCTCTTTATGGGGTTTATCCTGCTCGTGAGCTGGGCTACAACCATGACAGCGTGGAGCTGAAACTGCATCTGATCCAAGGGTCACATGTGTCTGAAAACTAATCTGCATGCATTCTGAATGGGTCTTTTCCACGTCAACATTCTTCTATGTGTTGCCTCGTCAAGTTTCTCAGAGGATATCGATGTGTTAATGTGGATGTTAACATTCTTAAAATACAGTGCACACTTCTCTAAATCCCCTCAGACATGAGTGACTGCTCACTCTTCCCAGTGACTCTCCTGTTTAGAAGAAAAGAAAGCCCAGTGCTGTTGATCCACATTCCATCCTAGCCTTTTCACTACCCCGACACATCCCACTCTTGTCATCCTGTCACTCGCTGCCCCCCCTTGAGGTGTCAAATCCCCTTCTGGAGCAGTTCCTGTATCCTGAGAGCAAACAGGCGAAGCACTACCCAGACATTGCTGTCTCCTCTTTCCTGTCATCTCCTCAGGAGAAACGTTCTCCAGCTGCATTAGTCCAGTAAAGATAAATATGACAGAGAGATGTGGTGAAGAGAAGGCCAGAATGGAAGGAGGAGAAAGATGAAGATAAAACGAGGGGGGCGGTCACATACACGAGTTGAAGTAAAAAGGACGTGGATTGGAGCGCACAAGGAAAAACAAGTGGGGAATGAGAGGCGGTCAGTGAGGTCAAGAAGAAATGGTGACATAAATTACGGAGACGCTGAACTATCGTCAGAAAATAATGGTCCTTCTGGGAAAATAAGCTATTTTTTCCAACCAATCACTTTGTTTTTCATGTCTTGCTCATTTTTTATTCTGAAAAACAAGTGGATTTTTCAGAAAATGTCAACGTGACGAGCAGATTCAGTGAACAAACATATTCATGTGTCCACTTGTGAACTATCAAGTCAAGATTTTCCATTTACCTGCGTACTGTTGAATATTCAACATAAAGTCACCCCCACAACAACATGAATAAATGTAGAGCTAGAACTATACTTTCTTCTTGTTCAAAACAAGTGTGCTGGGAAATATAAATCTATTCCTGAGGAGAGAGAAGGGAAGAATGGAGGAGGTGGAGAGTGCACCATCCTTAGCTCCATTTAGGGTCTCTCCCTCTCTTGTGTGGGCTACAATCCAACTTATTTCCATAACCACTGCTAGATAACCTGAAACATACCTGATTTATAGTACCTCGAAGTTATAAGTTCCCAGAGCTGAGGACAGCATATCATGCACAAGTATCCATCCTGAGGGCAGCGCATACATACATCGTAAACAGAGAGCAATTTGGTGTGAAATGAGGGGGATTTACACCCGGGAGTATAAATATGTGTGTGAGTATGAATATGCTTCTGTCGTTTGTTTTTATGCGTTTATTTTACTTGTGACAGGCACATATTTCTAGTTATATGCACAAATCTACTGTAGATACAGTAGGTTACAAAGGATCAGCATAGGAGAAGAATTATAGTGGTATGTGGTACACGTGTACAGTCCGGGTTGGAATCGCAGGATACGATAGGCGATACATGGCACACGCTAAAGATAATTTCAGGAAACAGTGATTCTGCGAGAATCAATATATTGCAAGACAATCATATAATATATCAAAATATGTGTTAAACTGAAGAAGAAACAAAATGACCCTAAAGAAGTCAAGTGCACGTTTAGTGTATTTATTCACTGCGATTCACTAAATATCAATATTTTGCACGATATTTGTATCTCACAAGTCAGGACAATGATATATTGTCATATCAATATTTTGTCCCAGTCCTAATGTACTGTAAGTAATTATGTACTATGCAAATAGTTTTAAATACAAAATGTTTCCCTCACAAAAGCTCAAATGACTTAATGAACTTGGGCTCGATCAACTACTCAAAATTAATCCAGATTGCAAAAAGAAATCCTAAAAACAGCTAAATCTTCAAAGTGAAACCCAGAACTGACAGAACACAAGCAAACATGGACCTCTGCATCTCATCTTAGAGAAACATCTGTTTCATGCTGTACACACTGGACTTGAATGTGACAGTAAATATTTACGGCTGTGGGTTTTTTTTTTTTTTTCTCTGATAAACCCTTCGCTTGTTCCTGTGTTTGTCACGTGACTGACAATCATAACACTCAGCTAGAACACAATAAAACTGGACACTGATAAACCGGTGACATAAAACAAAAGCTTCACCGTCTCGATGACATAATGTTTGTATACAGCATCATCTTCTGAAAGTTAGAACTAGCACAATGATACAAAAAGAAATCTGAATCTCCTGTTATCCAGACAACGACCTCACACTTTCCTCTTTAAAGAGACGAGTGGATGCTAATCTCTTCATTCCTGCGTTGCTGTGCTCTGTTCATCAGCATGAAGTCGGGCAGGCAGAGGAAGTGAAGCGATTGACATTCCTCTTCTTATCTCTCCGCTCCACCGCTCTGCATTTGAGGGTATCGCCCTTATGCCGAGCACAGGAGTGTGCCGTCTCGCATACGTGGCCCCTTAAACCCCCAGTATATGACAGACGAGTGGCTGTGAAAACAGAGGGTAAAAATACCTCGGTGGACACGCTCAGGGTTGTCTTGGTTTACTAAGAATTCACGTGACGAACAAGCATCGACATTCCTCATCAGGACCAAAACACTGCTGACAAATGAGTATATGCAGAGGTGCAGAGTCACAGCTGAGAGGGAGAGAAGAGAGGGCGAGTGAGAGGGGCTTATCTATCACAACAAAGTGCTGTGTGTGACTCAGTGTGATGCAGCTGAGAGTTACAGAGGAAAGCCATGCACAAGTGTATGTTTATGATTTCAGAGGGAGGATTGAGTTGCTGCAGCTATTCACAAATCCATCATCAACTCGCTGTAAAATTCCTCTTGAGTTCTGAGAAGTTACTGGTTATTTTCCAACAAGTGATTTATCACTCTGGCTGCACCATTTCAACTTAATGTGTTGGTTAAGACTTTGGTACTGCGTATGTCTGTAGCTTTTCATCATCTCAGCCACTGTCTAATAAAAAAAGTGCTGTAACATCGCCTGCTTTAACATAATAACCAAAAATAACTCTCTGGAGTTAAAGCTACGTCATCATTGGTTGATGTCTCTGACCTTTGACCTCCTTTAGGTCTATTAGATAGCAACTGATTGAGATTTTTAAGACCACCAACTGGATGGTTTCCTTCTAAAGGTCTCTGCACCATGACACCACACATGACTTATTGCATGTCATTATCAAAAAGGTCAGACATCTGCTGTGAGCAGACGTCCTGATTAAATCATGTTCCAGAAAATCCATGTTGATGCTCATGTAGGTTCAAATTTAGTTTTGAATCCAGAACGATGATCAGGGGCTGTGTGAGTAAAGATTTCTTATATGGTTGACTATATCATCAATTGTACCTGAATTGAGTTTCAGCAATGCTTTAAATATTTGCCAGGCTGAGAAAGAATTGTCATGGTTTTCATAATTCTAAGGGGTTTAAACAAAGAAAACAAGCCTGGACATGACGTAATCAACGTCCACACTGTCTTTTGTGTTGTTCATTCAGTATTCTGTGAAATGTTCAAATGGCCCACTATGATTTCACTATGATTCTCTCAAAGCACTTTCTCCAGATGGCTTCTCTCTATCAGACCTCAGATCTGACCTTCACCACAATCCACAGAATGTGAACAGCAAAGGGCACACAGAACAGCTGCATACAAAAATGATGATACAAGACTTTTCTCTTGCAGTTCATCACTTGACCTCTCCTGTTCCCCTTTCTTATCTGTCTTTTTATTCCTTTTATTTAGTTTCAAGTGTCTGTGAGCTTAACGTCTCTCACTACCTTTTTATTCCTGCCTCCTCTCCCTCAGAGGCCACTGATACATAGCAGAGTGGGCACAGAGCGCCCTGCACAGCGATTACCTGCATACTAAACAAACTCTAACAGATTTTAATGAGGCAGCAGCATTTTGACTGGAGTTGCTCTTCATTTGGCTGATGTCAGATCACCAGGGGGGCTCTTCAGTGGTTCTCTCTTACCACTGCTCTTTTAGGAGAGAGACAGCACAACAAGCTCCAATGCCACAATGTCTGTCGTCAGTTTCCTCGTCTCAATGGGTTTATCAGTGGGTGGGTGCAGGCCAAAAACTTTCCATTTGTCCCCCACTGCTGCTTTCCATTAACAGGACAGACAAAAATAACCACTGCAATGATTTTAAGGCGGCTATGGGAGGGAATGGGCCAGAGTGGGTGACAGCAAAGCACTATCTGACAACAGAAGTTCTCTTACACTTAATCTTAATGTGACCACTGTAAAGGCTGCAATGATGAGTGCAGCTCTGTAATGAAACATGGAGACCCTTACTGCGGAATACAAATTTCTTTAGCCATCTTAAACAATGGCCAGAAGCAATAAATTAAGAGACAAAAGGTGCTTAAGTTACAATAAATAATAACGTGATACAAATTTTGCCAGACTTTGCAGCAAGGCCGATGATTGCTTATGCAAGGGCTTTGATTCCAGATATACCCCATCAACAGCACAATTACCAGCAAAATATGTTACGTGAATATGTAATAATCGGAACGTAATAAACACAAGGAAATTACAAACTGTAACTTTAAAGTCCTGCAGATAACATTTCTAAATACCAAATATAAGCTTCTTACCCAAAACTACAACTCAGGTCAGGTTGTAAAAACCACTGCACCATCCTTCCATCCATACTTCTACTTAGGTCAACACCACTACAGCAGAGGACAATGGATCAGGCACATAACCCAGGTGTTTTGACAATATGCTGCAGGAAACCATAATGCATAACTGGGTCTTTGGAGTTGTGTTGTTTTGTTCTCTCACCAGAACTGAGGAAGACTTTTGGAAGCGGCGCAGCAGATTTTTCTGTGCCAGGCTGAGATGTTTCCCCTTGGCATGTCTGCGCAGGATGCTCCACACCCGTGCTGATGGACGCTGCTTCGGCCGCAGCCGGATCCTGTGATTGTTGGGCTGCAGCCACTGATAACAGTACGAACACACCGAGGTGCTCTGCGACGGGCAGGTGGATTTCTTCTTCACTGATACGACGAGGAGGAAGAGATGTGTTACAAAACCAACAAACAAACTAATTTCGATACAGTCAGGCATATTTATTTAAGATAAGATAAAACAGAAATTTATTTCCTGAAGGAAATCTGTGCCAGATCCTGCTCCAAACTTACAATAACAAATAAAACAATAAAGTATGAAGTTAAGTATATAAATATCAAGTGTAAGAGGAGTCAATGGAAGACCAGAACCTAAATGGATAACAACACTAGTGAAAGAATAAACTAAAATTGAAAACAAAGTGTTGATATTGACAAATGAGTAGTAACATTGCAAATGTTATTAATATAATGCAAACAGATGTTGAAAGATAATATTGTAGGTGGTGCTGGTATTATTGTTTTCAGTGTGTTAGGTTTCAGCTGTATTATTTTCAGCAAAAAGGTGTTGGACATGTATGTGGCAAAAGCAAAGATTCAAAGAGATACGTGTTTGAAACTTCTAGTAAGAAGATCAATGTTCAGATTTTAGCAGCTGCATTGAGAGTCTGTGCTGAAACATCAATATAACATCTTATATTTCTACAGCCACAGAAATACAGTCCACATTGGAATAAATCTGTCATTCCCAAACAACATTCTGGATATCCACTCAACATCCAGACGTCATAAATCAAATTATCATGCTCCTCTCTTACAGATCAGTTATCGTTTTATTTGGAGAAAAGCCTGAAGAGTCTTACTAAATGGAACGACTACCTATTGATGTGGTTTTGGCTGGCGTGTGTTTTTATTATTGTGTGTTTTATCCCACCAGGCACTCAGTCACAGACAATTGGCTGACTCAGTATCTTTGGCTGTGGGTTTAGTGAGTTTGGATCAACCTTGACAAGGTCCTTCTTAACACTTCTCTATGAAGATCATCACTGAGGAAAACAAAAACTGAAGTGTTTTGACTTACCCTTCTTATTGGCATTCACAGACCCCTGCCTGGGGAAGAGGAGAGGGGACAAGATCAGACACTTGAGAGTTAGAGTGAAATTTGTAACAGGATGATTATAAAAATAAGATTTTAATATGAAACTACCTGACTGGCAAAAATAATGTTTATGGATTAGGTAATGTGTTAATGTTTTATTCAAGTTATGCAGTAAATGGCAATGAATAACCATGATCCATTACAAGTGTCAAATACAAACAGTGGAAGGAAAATTATTCAACTGGCTAACTGGTAAACAGAATGCTATTCCTAACTCCCAGAAGTTAAAGCAAAGATTTGCACAGCCACTGTTAAAGTAAAAAAGAAGATGGGGATTTATCTGGGTCTGAACATTGTTGGAAACATTTTGGATAGTGTAAGTACACAAGTCAACAAAATATATAACATGGTCTCGTTGTTTTTAAAAATTTTGATGAAGAATTGTTACATTTTGAGTTAATCTTTGCTTTAATAGATAAAGTTTTGGTTGTTGTGCTCTAAAATCTTAAGTAAACTGCTAAGGAAAGAATACATAATGGAAACACCAATTCCCTTAAACAAGAAACTGAAATGGACAACCCATCCCATTATGTGTAGTGGAAAACCAAATAGGTCCAAACAATATAGGAAAAATCCTCTGCCTCTACCCCCTCCTGCTGCAGGGCTGCCGCTGCCACTGCTAAAATTAGCCGCGGGATTAAATCGATGAGGGGAAATGTGTTGTCCGGCGGCAGCACGTGTGACAAAGTCAGAATGGGGCTGGATGTTTGTGGAGGAAAGAGGTGGGAGGTAATCTGGAGTCGACCTGCTGGCTGCCGCCGCCGCAGCAGCGGTTGTTGTCACTTTTCCACTTGCACTCTCAGCCACCCCACATGTGATTTAATAATCAGTGACTGGATTAAACTGTCAGATTATATAGAAGCCCTGTCAAAATGCTGGCTATGAGGAGAAGCCTGTGCGAGGTCGTGACTGAGCAGGACTGATAATGACTCATGGATGTTGAGCAAATCCCCATTTTTCTTTGTTATGCTGAGACATGTTCAACATTCTAACTTGGGGGAAAATTGTGAGTAGAAAGTTTTGAATACATTTCCATCACTTGAAACCGCTGACAGAAACATTTCCACAACATGAAACACATTTTTTATTCCTTTGCAATACTAGAAAAAACAAAATCCACCAAAACTATAAACAGACCACTGATGGCTCGAGTGAGGAGAAGTAGAATTCTTGAGGGGTGTGATCACTGCTTCCTTGATGAGCTCGCTCTCAGAAACCGTACACCACAAAGACCTCTTCCACCGCACTAATCTTATTAACATACTTGACATGCATCTCCTTTAAAGTGCACACTTAGTTGTGGTGATGAACTCTTTGGGCTCTACACACATGGACCGCTGACATCAGGGGGGTGCAATTCCAAAAACTCCAGAAGATGCAGAAAGGGGTGGGGGGTTGGGTGGGCATTATGATATTATGTGTTGGCTACAGTGTGATAATGTGATTAGAGTCAGAAGTGCTGGCTGAGGCAAAGTGAACAAAATTAAACGCATTATGGACGTTTTATTGCCTCCATTGGGGAAAAGAGCGCAGCTGCCGGCAAATCCTGAAGAGCCTTCACTGTGACTAATGGACATGTAGACACAGCGGCCTGGCACAGGTTGTGCTGTGGCGACTGTCAATCAGTGAACACTCTAGAGACCGTATCAGTGGGGGGGCGTCCCATTCATCAATCGAATGGGACAGAGAAAGAGGCCAGCAGGTGCCTCCCAGTCTGGGGCACACTTGTACGGGCGGAGACGGCGGCGGACTCTTGCTGAGAGAGCGACAAGAGGACAGATACCGAATGAGGGGAGATGAGGAGAAGAGCCCGACCAATGTGGATTTTGGAGGGCTGATTAGGATACCGCTATTAGGGAGTAAAACATTTCCGATAGCATTAAATCTGCCAATATTTAAAGAAATTGGCAATTATTCCTAAGATGTCGTTATTGAATCAGTATGACCAAGACTTTTAATTCAGGCTTGATATTTTTCAGTTTAACAATAAACTTGAAATAACTATAAATAAAAAGAAAGCACAACAGCAAACAAATGTATAGAGCGTGAATAAATAAAATTGATATACATTTTCAAATGTATTCATAAATGCACATCTTTTCTGCATTGTTTATTCTGTGAAACAAAAGCTTTCTACATATTTCGGCAAATAAAATGTTGATACCGATGTCTCTGAAAATCTCATTCCCTGGGAAAATGATCAAAATGTTGAAAAATTGCCATTTTAAATATTAAAGATATTCAACAAAGATATTAAATCTTTGTATGCTAGCCTTTTATAAGTAACTTTAAAATGTGACCTTTATCTCTGGGAAATGATTTGGTTAGAAATAATCAAACTAAAAAAGGGGAATATTTTAAGAGTCACTTTAACAACATTTTTATTAAAATCTTCCTAACGTAGTTTTTAAATAATCTAAAATCATTGTCAAATAATGGATTCTCATTGGCCCTGAATAAAGAGCTGAACAAAAGCACTGCAGGATAAAAGTCATCCTGACACTGCACATTTTGGTTATCAGCACACTCAGTCAGGCTCCAGTTACTGGACATGCAACTATGATTATGAACTTACTGGCAACGTGAGCCACAATAATTAAAAAGCGATGTCATCTTACAAACAAGAACACATAACACACACATTGACACCCCCCCCCCAAAAAAACCCACCCACATACAAGCCCATCCAAATAGACAGCTAACACTGAAATAATATAACAATGAAAATAAACAATAAAGTGTATTGTCAATAAAAATGTTTAAAAAAAATCAATGCATTTGCATTGGTGACGGGAACATACACACAGACCGAGTCATCAGTTGCCCGACAGTGGGTGAGCACAGTAACACGATCCCAAACAAATATGTGAAGCACAGTGTATGAGTATATGACACGCACCCACGACACAAACACTCAGTGACGCATGGGCCAACGCCATAACTGGAGAAAGCGACGACACAGGAAACCGTCAGAAGAACACAGAGTGCACTGTGGTTCAACAGGACAAAAGAAACATCAACACATACTGACCACGTGTGTCAGCAGCGGTTTGGTTGGATGCTCACTAACATTTCAATTTCCCCTCGGTTAACTCTGGGACTGTGTATTCAAGACCTCCATCTAAAAACATTAATTCTTCAAGGTAATTTCCTCCCGAGCAGGACTTGCCCTAAGTATTATCACTTTGGTTTCATTAGCTTGTCACACTGAGTGTTAATCTTGGATGTGGCCGCTGATTGTGTTCTCTCTGCCAGGCCCTTTGGCACGAAACCAGGCAGGTCTTACAGCCCAAACATTTAAATTTGTGTGTTACTCGGTGGACAGATGGTGACAGTTAAATATAGTGGAAATGCTCGCAGCTCAGTGCAGCCAAATCTGGGGAACAGATCAATGTGTTAAAGGAGCGTTGGTGTCACACACATCTGTAAAATGACCCTGAGTCGGTGTTTCACTACTAAAACCTGTGTTTTTGTTTCCATTCATGGGTCTGCCCGCAAATTTCCTGGCTCAGGTGTAAGAGAAAACCAGCGGGAGGATACGGGGACATGGCAGGAGCCCAACGCAAACATGGGCCACGAGAGTCTGTGCACACACAAACACACACAGCACCTGTTAGATGCATTAATATCCATAAAATTTGAGGACCCACTGTACCTGTAAATGTGCACAGTCCACGTGCACACACATAAATAATTTCCCTTTCTTTCTTTCTTTCTTTCTTTCTTTCTTTCTCTCTAAGACTGCAAAAAATGATGTATATTAGAAACTTGCATGAATCACTATTATATTATTCTAATAAGAATGAAAACACAAGAGGCTAATTGGATGAAGAGAGTTGGTATATGATGGGAAATACTTGGTGCTCTGGGTCCTATTAACAACCACAAAAAAGGATACAGAAAAGTGGAAAGAAGATTACACACTATCCGTTCCTCTTTACATGCACCAGTTTTTCTTCATACGGCTCTCATTTCTTATTTGTTAAGAGGTCGCTGTGACCTCACCGGTGAAATATGCTCACTCCGCAGCAACGCAAAACTGAATGAAAATCAAGTTGAAGTGAATTCATCATGTGGCAGCAGCTTTTTCAGATGCCACACAGACTCTCCCACTACACCAACACATGACTGGCTAATTTCCATGTGCAACAGGCCATTCATGCAACAGAAATAGCAGCACACTACACTGCAGTGGGACAACACAAACATTCAGGCTGCACAATGAGACACAATTCAAACAAACGACAAGGAGAAACGTTTGCAACAGTTCTATCATCTAGAGCCGGGCATTTGGGATAGAAAAATTTGCAATGACTCATAAGATGTCATCATCATTTTACAGTATAAATGTGTTTAATTAATTTACACCGACGTGTGTGAAACGGATTTACACAGTCAGTGAAAACATGAGCGTGAAACATAAGTAAACCGTATTCCGTTTTGAAATGCACTTAAATATGGTAAAATGAGCAACACTGTAAATGACTGCAGCCAATTTCCAGTGGTTCAGTTTTCAAATAGCAATCACAGCAGAGACCTATCTGTCACGTCTACGAATTATTGTGATATCTGTGCATTTCTACTTATAATTTTATGAATACCAGTTTTATATTCATATTTTCTATCTTTGCATATAATATTTTGCCCTATAAAAGCTAAGTCATTCAAGCAAGACCACAGTAAATAAAAGGGAAACTAAAGAGATATAAAGTAAAATCTTTATTCACTGTGTTATTTCTCTAAAAAATGTTATGGTTTTGACCTTTTAATGTTAATGGCCTAAAAAGGAACTGAATTGAAGCTCATTCATTTTTTCCCATGGATTTTGTGAAGCACTTTGTAGCCTTGTTTAGATAAGTGCTATACATATAAAGGTAATATTAAGATTATCCATGAAATGAACTGTAAGTTACACAGTAAAAACATGAGTAAGAATTATATAACCTCATAAACAAAATAAATAAACACGTGCCATTTCCCGGACAGGAAGTCACCTGTTAACTCTGGTCGAGCGCTTCCCCCTAGCGTCTACATGCCACTACTACAACAATACAGGAGAGAGCGTAAGGACTCAGATGCGCTGGTGAGATTCATGAAGGATATTTAAGAAAGTTTCTTACAGGTAGAACCGTGACAGCTCCGGACACGTGTCCTTATACAGCAGAGACGCGTGCAGCAGGAAGTTGGCGGATGTTTCGCTGTGGACAGTTTTCATTTTCAATCTGTTTCCTGCTGCGACGAAGGAAACCCCGCAGTTAAAATGTCTTCCTCCACAGAAAGTTGTAAACGAAACCTAAAGAATCTCCCGCACACGACGTCAGAGCTGGAGGAGCCAGGAAGAGTGTGAACTTAGGTCTAGATTCATACAAACGTGGTGAGTATGCATGTTGGGCTGCGACACCACAGAAATCCACGTTGAGTCGCGAGTTTGTGACGTTTCCTGCGATGCATTGTGGGAAGCTGAGTCAAATCTACAGAAATGCGTTGGTTGGGCAGCACCTGTTTTATTGTCCCTCCTCAGCTGTTAGTGCCAAAAACAATATAAAAACCAAACTAGAGTAAAAATGTAATTGAACTGAAATAAATGAAATGAAATAAACGAATTATGTGTATGCACAATACTAAATACATCTGATTTCAAATGAACTTTTAAGAGCCTTCTTTATTAATCAGTTGTCAGGGATTACACAGGAGACAAAAGTGTCATAACACTTAAATAATCACACACTTTATCACTAAACATTTGTGAGACATCCAACAACAACAATTAACTATAGAGCAATCATTCAGTTCAGCTCATATAAATGCCCAGATAGTTATTGTTTAATGTCGTCATTCCTTAGATCTTATTGGATATTTGGAATTACCAATGAAAGACGCCAGTGGGGCCGATTGACATCATTATTGCTTTTTGCGCACTGACACACCAGGTCTCCTGAGCTCCAGATAGCATGACATCCGAGAAAGAGTCGATGGTCTGAGTCTTTAAAACTCCCGCTTGATCCTGTGAAATGATTGCATCGGGTCTGGATGGGGATTGAGCAGGGAGAGCGTGAGCCACAATGTGAAATTGGATCTTTAGAAGACGCAGCAGCAGCAGCAGTGAGGACGATCCATTTACTGAGTGCGCACCGACGGGTGAGCCTCAGCCTGTATCCTCTGGTGTGCGGATATGAAAAGCGGTAACACATTCAGTCACGAGTCTGGTGGGAGAGAGACGTGAAATGATGAGAGAAAGAAGTTACAGAGAGATTTGTTCGACAGAAGAGGGGATTTCACTCAGCATCAGCAGCGACGCAGCTCCTGCTCTGCTCCCATCGTCGGACCGGTGCGTTTTACGCGCAGCTTTTATCCGGAATCTTCATCCTTTCTGACAGTAGGTTTTAACGCCTTTCGTTTTATAACATATCCTACAATTTTAGCCGAATGCAGACAATTTAATCATATCATAGCCTATTGTGATTAATAATGATCCCATGTGTGGCTAAGTTAAAAAGAGAAATATGCTCTAATGTGGTCCTTTGTTTGGATAACTGGTAATTTCCATCATGCAGGCTAATTTTCCTTTTGGAACTTTGACATATAAAGTAAAAATACTACCAAAGAGATAAGAATCACACGAATACAACACAAACAGAACACTATACACTCTGTTGAGTTTATTATTTAATGCTGATTAATAGCCTATAATTTATGATTTTGGGGCAAACAGTTTGCTGCGCAAAAGTGTGAGGTCTTCTTCTGTTGTGTACAGATTCTGTCTGTGATGCGTGTGTGTGCGTTTATGGAGGGGATGGTGGGAGGGGGGTGCCACCAGACACTGAGGAGATGTTAAATCACTGGGCCGGTACAGGGCGCACAGACACTGATGGAGTGAGCCTAAGCGTGAGGGATTGCTCCGCACTTTGTCCGCGAGTAAATCTTCACTTTATCAGCCGCTGTCAGGCTTTCCAACGCAAGATTGAAATAGCTGAGCGGTGCAGCGTGAGCGTAGTCTGCGTATAAACGGATTTTCCTTCACTACCAGGACCAAATTGACTCGCGTCTCCAAGAAAGAGCCAAAGAGACTGACATGCAGGCAGGGAGGCAGGAAGGATGATATGGTGCCACCACATCCTCACCCTGTCTTTAAAGAGAAGGACCAGAAAGGTAGGATGCTTCCTCTTCACTGAATCTGTGGTCTGACTTAATAAAGACTAATAAATGAATATTATAACTGCGCATGATGGGGCAGAAATGCAGCCTCAATGAGCAAAGACTTATAAAAGACTTCTCCACTGATCTGCACAGTTATAAATGAACGTCATTTTCTTGCAGGGCGCAGGAAAGCAGGGGGCTGTATGGAGATCAATCATGTAACCAGGCAGTATTGGATTGTTAGTAAATCTTTGAAGTGTGCCTGGAAGTGAGAAGACATTCATTTCCATACAGTAACATTAGCCTGCCTTGCACCATTTGTCAGTTTTACCAGAGGGAAATAAAAACTGTCTCATGAGCTCGGCTGACTCATATGCTGGAACCTGCAGCCCTGACAGTGTTAATGCACATCTCACTGGGCCACACAGGACCACATGTGTCTCCTGCACTGTGCTTTGGATGAGACAGGTCTGGTCCTTGCAAGACTCTTCCGTTATCTTTGGAGGAACTTGCAGGGGAACAGAGACATCCCAGAATCCTAGAGTGTCCTGTCAGCATCTGCAGGGAAAAGCCAATCCCAGCAGCAGCAGCGGCAGCAGCATCCATCGAGCCAGCGATCATTTCTGAAACGCAACACCAACTCCAATGGTGCTGAGAAAGCTCAGGAGAAAAGGCACAATGTGCTTGTGTTGCTGAATGTGTCTTTACAGTCAGACTGTGTGTGTATGTGTATGTGTGTGTCTGTGTGTGCGCATCTTTGTGATGACTTCCCACAGTCATGGAGCTGTAAAAACTCAAAGGGCTAACACTTCAATCAGTATTCTCCTGTGCAGTGATGTTAACTGCAGATTTGCATTTGTGTGCAGCTGTTATCTGAGGTTATTCTCCTGCAGAACACCCTGACTTTACACATCTCCAGCAGGAACATTGCTGAGTCCAGTCTATACTCAGTAATGAGTGTAATTATCCTCTTGGATAAATAATTAATAGATTATAATATAAGGTCGCTCTGTGATTCAGGTTTTATGCTGTGTGCTGATAACTGCATGCCTTTGTTTTAGTCTTTTGGGCATGAACATCTTGTTAATCCTGAGTTTTCTTCCTACTTTTCAGCAGCAGGAACCTCAGTCTCTCACAGTGGCATAACGCCCACTTTTCCCAGACATGTGTTTCTTAATAGTTATTTCTCAGGAAGCGTTTTTCTTTTTGATGCATCATTTGTTATTCTCTTCGAGCACATTTATCACAGCCATTCTTCAAATTACAGCATTGGACGAATAGTCTGATGCAGTAAAGTGTAAAAACAGACGACCAAGGTCACAGCATCACTTATGCTCAAAAACAATTTTGTGTGTGTGCTGGTTGGGTATTGTCTTCCCCTCCCCGGGAACCATCACACACTCCCAGAGACAATACTTCAAGGACAACAGCACTCACCTTCCACTTCATTAAAATCAGTCGTCTGACGAGCCTTGTTTATTTCACAAAGCCACTTGCTGAGGAAAATAGAATTTTTGTGTTCAACATTTGAAGTGATTACACCCTCCATGGAGATTAATTGTGAAGAGAGCTGAGTCACTCAACTGTTACTGGAAGCTGCACATGCAGAGGCCAAGAGACTTTCTCTATTGTTCGCTTTTCAACAAAACCTTCTCGGTTGCACTGTACTTCTCAGCGGAGGAACGTGCACACTCTAAAGGAGGTGATCTGGTTATTCGACCTTGATACATATTCTTCTTTTAACAGTTTTTTTTAAAACAATGCCTCAGAGCAAAATTATTTATAAATCTCAGTAGAGATTTGTAAATCAGACCCAGTGGAGTCTATTTTAAGGCAATGAGAGCGCAGGTCTCCCAACGAGGCGGAGTGTGCATGTGTGTGGGCTACATTTGCATGTGGACATATGTTCTTGACATGTCCTGGCTGCTGTGTGCGCTTGTTTTGCATAGCTTCTGGTACAGACTGCTTTTCTACACTTCATCAGACTGAGTAGAACAAACATGTCAGGTCTACAAACAGGGTTTGTTTGCATCAGGATGATCCCGGCATCCAGAGGCCGAGAGAACAGTGGCTCATTCACGAGACACCAAGGGAGAGGACCCAGCGGAGGGGCTGAGGTCTCTGTACAAGCTTGTGTATCCCTGGAGAATAACAAGGAGAGGAATCGTGAGGAATAGCAGTCTACTTCAATTATGTGCCGTTCATAATAAAATCATAGAGGGTTAGCGTTCAGAGACGTGACCTGAAGCACCGAAAGCCAGTATGTACATCACTTTAACAGTGAAGTGAACAGAGTAAGCCTCTATGCACTCAGTTAAGGTCACTGTAAGTTGTCAGCTGGATGAGAAGGCTTTTAAGAAGTTAAGAGTTAAGTCAAAGACCGTGGAGGCAAATCTTGGTGGTGTAAATTAAAGTGCCTGTTTGCTTCTTAACTCCCTGTGGCCTTGATTAAAATGAATGGGCACGCAGCCTAACACCCAAATTGGCTGCCAGACGAGACCTTTCTTTTTCCCCTCTTAAGTCAAGTCAGCTAACTGAGTGTAGCAGAGACAAACAACCTCCAGCATATACAGACAGATTTAATGTACGGGTAAACAAACACATGCAAATGATTGCATGGCTGTGCACATTAAGTTGTATACTTTTATTGTTGTATTTTTATGGGTGGACCCGGTGAAGCCTTTGGCCTGATGTGATGGCAAAAGAATATCTTGAGTATGCATCTGTATTTGTACACATAGGCGTCACCTCTGTAGACTCTCTCATTAAAAACCAATGGCACCTTTAAATCAAATTAACACTCTTACATTTCAGTTCATAAAAAACAATCAACAAACTGGAATGGCACAGTAGTGAGCAAATCTCTGCCAAGCCCCAACATAATTAAATTCAATCAAGCTGCACCAAATTTCACACACTCAAAGATTCATTAAATATGCCCGATTCTTTCCTGGGAAAATGGTGAATATGTCCCACAAAAAAAACAAAACACCCAATCTCGCAATGTTAAAGAAAATGATAAAACATTTCCTGGATCTGCCCCTTAATCCGAATTCCCACTACATCCTTGGATTTCCACTAAGTTTCTGGAAAATCTTTCCTGTAGATTTTGTGCGATCCTGCTCGCAAACGATCCAACCAACAAACAAAGGCAGGGCTGAAATTAACCATCTTGGCGTTGGTAACAAGTTAATTCACAATATCAGTAATGAATCTAAATTTCAGATGAATTTTGGGGCAAATTAGGGGCACAAGCGAATATGTAGAATTTGGCATCTGGTACACTCATTTCCTTCTGTTCCCTCAAACTTTCCCTCATGAA